AGGGAGGTAAAGGGCAGGCCAAGAGCAGAATCCCCCAAATTCTTTGTTATCATCTCTGCTGTGATTCCCTCTGTAGGCTGTAAAAATCTGCTGCGACGTTATGTTTACAGATGGCGAAACCAAAGCAGAACTGGCTCACTTTCATGTGGAGGGGGGATGAGAAAATATTTCAAGCAGCATTGCAAAATACAAGTGACTGCTAAAACAGCTTTCAAAAAACCTTCTGTTTTAACCAAACAGCCAAGTGTACAGCCAAAGCGAGATGACTCACAGGGAAGCGACCCCGCTGCCACTCAGTCACGGCTGTGCAGAGCCTAAGAAGTGGGTTTCAGCGATAGTCTTTTAAAGCTATTTTTTAATAGCAGCGTTACAAAAATGTCCTGTGATCCATTTACTGAGGTAGGAATACATAATCCATGAACTGTATGTACACACATTAGACTTTTAGGAAATTAATCTTTTGTTTTACAAGAAGTCTCAGGGACAGCATCCAAACAACTCAAACTAAACCAGACTACATTTTCTGACTAAGCCTTGACAGATGAACTAGTAGCCTGGCACTGAAGACTGCCTGATGCTCAACAGTCTTACTAGCAGCTGAACGAAAAACTTGCATCTCAATCACCTGGTTAACGGCAGTGGGGAGTGAGGAAAAAAATCATGCTGCAGAAGAGAAAATTGGAAACGGATGGATGCACCTGGAAAACTCACATCCTTCTATCAGCTCATTACCGTAAAAATAAAATTTTCAAAATATGCCGATTTGCTACAGTTCATGAACAATTTCTAAGCCGAAAATAATCATCTGCCACCCACCAACAGAGAACTCCCGTCTTGCCTCCTACAGCCCAACTAGCAGCATGTTGTAATTGTTAAGCTTTGAGAAAGAGCTGGGGAGATGGTGCTGGGGTCAGAAGAATGCATCTAAACAAAGAGGAGGACCCCGTGTGACACATTCCACAGACTGCTTAAAAACCTTACTCCTTCCAGTTTCTCCGCAAGTCTGGCTTCTTCTCCTAAGAAACGCTTAGTTTTGTGCCAGATTTTGGGTGTGACCAATTAGCAGCATTTTGAAGACTTTCAGATAAAAAGAGTTTCCTTTAACAGCTCTAATGCTATTGTCCCAGTTTCCAGCATCACGCCAGGCAAGGGGAGATAAAGCAAGAACTACGGCAATGGGAGTGTCTCAGTTACAACACACAGGAAGTATCAAATTCCTATTAAAACACAAACGGGCTAAATGGAACAATCCCACACAGACACTGCTGTGGGATTCTCAGCAAAATAAACTTGCGATTTTATGTCTCAAGCACGATATTTTAGCAGATTAAACTCCAGTTACTCTCATATTAGCAGTAATATTGTCAGCTGCTCTCCAGCAAAAAGTACCTGCACTTAACGGACTCCGAGCCTTGGGAACGCGATGTACCAGCCCTCCCGGAGGAAGCGCTGAGACCACGCCAGGGTGGGCTTCCAGAATTAATTTGGAATTTCCCATCCATTTCCAAACTGAAGGACTTGAGAAGTCTCGAATTATCAAATTTTGTGACACACAGAGCAGCTTTAGGGAGGGACGGGAGGATGCTTTTGGAGTTGCCTAAAGTTCAGCAGCAAGGGTCTTCAACGAACTGGTTCGTTGAACGTTTCATGAACGAAAGGTTCACGACCTTTCCACTAGAACACCCCTCCAGTCTGCCCAGTAAGGGTGCCGATTCCCATTCGACAGGTTTTTTTCAATTTGACCCACAGGCTGGCTTTTTTATGCAACCTGCACAGACCCATGACAGGTAGCCCAGAGACCCTTTGATCCGGAGCCCACAAACCGCAGCGCCAATGTTACCCCTTTACAGCAGCTGAAACTTGCAAAAGGCATGGTATAACGCCCGGAACAATGCAGCGTTTTCCCCCAGCTTAAATATAAGGACTTCTAGCTAAAACAGGAATATTCAGCTAATTAGGTTGTATTTTTTCCATTTTTTTCCTCCAAATCCACTTCTTCCTATCTCAAGAAAGCTTACCACAAGAGCCTTACTAAATCCATCACTTGTTCCACATGACCTCTACATGTAGACTACTCTAAAGCACTCAAAACTAAGTCCAATTCATCTAACCGTGTACCACATTTTCTATGCTTTCAGCAAGTTCAAACAAAATTTTCAAATAATTAACTAGTCACAAGAAAGGTGTTTTCAACCTTTAGGCTCGGTGATGCAGGAGCTATTGTTAAAGACAAGGTATCCAAGTCCATAAACATAGTTATGGGCAAAATGTCAGCACATAAATAGAAAGCTGTGCCTCCAGTTAAACTCTGCGACACTCCCACAATATGAGAATGCTGATATAAAACTATGCTACCAGTTGCCGTTATCACAAACACATTTTAGCTGTATTATTAATTTAAACATAAATGTTTTAAAGCATCTCAGCAGAAGAGAAAATCAATGTATCTGGTAAGGAAGTGAAGTATTTGAGCGCTGCTCCTTTAGAAGACTATAGCTTGACATACCGCATATTCCTTCTTTCCAGACACATTTCACGTGGAGAGACCCGTTTGGTGGCTCTCTCCTTTTACTGTCAGTAATACGATAGCAAATTTTCTAAAGATTTTTCAACCGGTTTTGTTTTAGTGAAGCCAACAATCAATGCTCTCCCAAGAAAATAGTTTCGTTTAAAAAATCAGCTCTTAGCTCATAACCCCCACCCAATCTTCAGAGCAAATTTTATATTTGTATTTGAGGTAAGGAAACAAGATGAGGAAACTGCCTTCTGAGCTTCAAAGTAAATACGCAAGTCCTGACTCATAGTTTCTTAATCACTATCCCCACCATTTTCCATACACTTAAGAGCTTTAGCGTTAGTTTTTCAGAAGAAAAAGATAGCCTGTGCTATCCGGGCCTGACAGGAGCCTTGGGACTTCTTACTGTCCTTCTGTTGTTTAGACAACTATCCAAGTCATACGTGTCTTTTGTTCCACATCTTTTCTCACTTGTATAAGCTACGAGTTTTAACACTAATAAAATGTAGAAATATCTGGGCCTATGACTAGATGTCCCTCTCTGTTCTCTAATATTTTTCTCCAGCCCCTGAAGAGGAAGGAAGCCCGTGCGAGGGACGCGGGGAGCAGCCCCTTACCTTCGCTGTCCGTGAGGACTTCCATTCGGCCACTGAACATGGCTTTGAGCATGGTGTCCTGCTTGGTCAGGGTCTGCATGGTGGTGTAGTAGAGGGCACCGCCAATGTTCAGCTTGACATACTTGGAGCTCGGACTAGTCCCTTTGAAGGAGGTAGTACGAGTCGCAGCCGCCGGCACTGCTGAGCTCACCACACTTTCTCCCGACATCTCTTCCTGCAAGCAAGGAGTTACCAGTCAGACCTGCAGCTCCACTGCATGACACCCAACTTCGTGTTACCGTCAGTTATTTTACACAGAAGTAGTCATAGATGTGCTGGGCACTATCAGCCTCGGCTCCTTTCTGCCCCTTTGCAAAGTTCTCAAATGTTTTAGATGTTTAACTTTGTCTTCTTGCTGACAGCGACATAAACCAGCAAAAGAACATAAATCAACTCAGCCAGTGAAGAACGCTGTGAAAGCTGAGCAGCATTTCACACTGAGAAAGCCAGTGCTTTCCCACAAAAACTGCGTTCATTTCTCTCACAACTTCTAAAGCTTAAGTTCTTACTTGGTGAATAATCTGGTATGTAACTGGGCAATTCCCAACACACAGAGCCTGAGCAGACGATTTGTATGTGTTAAAATGCAGACTATCCACGGACTTTCTTGAGGCTTTTTTTCCTTAAAGCATACATGGCTCTACAGAGAGCACACACAAGCTTCCCACTCTCCTCCCTGCGCTCCCACATTTCTCAGCACACCAGAACCCGATGTCCAACATCCCCCACTACTGCCCGCAGTCCCCAAAGTGGACTCCACTCAGCTAACGAGGTCACACGCTGTAACAGGAACACATTATCTTAGCACCACAAATGCTCTGAGAGCCGCTAATGATAAATCCTTAATCAAACTGCGTCCCTGTGGTTAACTGTTTTGCCTCACAACGTGACAGGATGGGATGATTAACGCCCCGCCATCTCGGGCAGACCCAGGTCCTACAACTCTGAGAGCACGCTGGCTGACACTGTACTGAACGATTTTTGCTCCGCTGTCATGAAAAGCAGAACTATCAGATGGCAAATCTGAACGGAAGTTCAGAAATGTAGTTACGTGTCCAGATTGCGTTTCGCAAGGTGAGGAAGCAGGACGGCTAGAGGTGGCCACGGGGGACCATTCCCTCTGTCATGGGGGCCTGCCCGGGGCTCTCTGGAGTGCAAAGGCACCAGCCTCAGCCCCACG